CGTTTTCAGACAGTTGGATTATTGCCCTTTTTACAAGAAAAAAAACTTGTCTGCAAGTGTAACAATGGATGCTTCATCTAACGAATTTAAGTCGTGATTCTCAAAAAAGGAATACAATATAAACAATTGATCAAAAGTGGAATCTGTGATCACAAAATTGAACTCTTGTAAGAGGATAGCAAAATCACCTCTCCTTAGGACTCTCCAATGAGCGCTTTCTTCAAAATTAGTGGAGGGTTATAACCACTTTAGATTTAAAAATTGCTGCAAAATTACCGACATCCTGGTTTGCCAGTGTATATTCGTTTTTAAAAAGCAGCAGATGTTCAAATTATCATAAGTATAGGCGAAGTAGGCACAAAAGGGATCTTTAACATCTTTTGAGCTAAAAAAGGAGATGCTTTGAAAAAAGTATAAGAAGGTTATAATTGAGTTTGTCTTAGTACACTCTCAGCCACTTCAAAGGAAAAGAGAAAATCATCTTTTCTACTCGTGAATTTCACTGACGGTAGATCTAGGGAGCACGAGCACAAACGACTTTCTTATGACTTCTTGTAGTGCCTAAAGGCCACTTCTCTCGCCTGCCTTATGACTAGTTAGCCAGCCCTGCAGGTAGACCGAATGAATGTGGATTGCGGAGATAAAGGAAGCTGCTGCCCGAGGCGAATGAACCACCATCGTGGCTCCAGTGGACTTTAGGGAAGGGATTTATCTCCTTCATGAAACCTACGACGGACCACGATGCAAACTGACATTAGTATTCTATGAACAGCGTTTTCAGGAAGAAGTTAAAAAATAAGGAAGGCGTATTAACCGCTGCCTCATTTAGCATCTTTGATCCTAGTTCCCGTAAACAAATCGGGTTTGCAAGGCTCGAGAATAAACCACCAATTCGGGTGCCGAGCAATTCGAAAACCATCTAATTTGGTTAACTACCAACCTGGAAAGGGGGTTACATCCTACCGAGTTGCAAGACTTCATAATGCTAGGTTAAAACTGTCCTCAAAATCAGCTCCCCACCGGTACCAATTAGAGTGCTTAAGAGGAAGAGTAGAAGAAATTTAATCGTCTCTTCCTAGGCCTCTCCTCACTCTCACTCATTCTCTCCCTTTACGAACAGCTGGTGAAAAATGAAACGAGTGGATAAGTGGGTGAGCAAG